CAAGAGAACCCACCCGTAGAGCCTCAAACATACACACCTGATGCTCAACGTGTGTGTGTGTGTGTGTTTGTGTGTGTGTGTGTAACATCTCACACTAACATCGCCTCTGCTGCTCCTGCTGGAAAAGCAGATTTATCATCCATCTGCTCCATTAATCATTCATAACACCAGTTCATAACTTCACCCATTTACACTTCCTGTGTTCATTTTACGGCTTTCCCAAATAATTATTAAATAAAACAAGCACAAAAAAGTAAAGTAGAGTAAAAAAAAAAAAAAGAAACACTAAAAAAAAGTAGTTGTTTTTACCAACATCATGTGACTGTCTGTGGAGCTTGCAATTATCAAATGTCTGATAAAATATTTACTATATTATACTATTATATTAAATATTGTATAATGTTTTATAATATTTAATATATATTATATTAAATATAATTAATATATTACACATTATAAAATATTTAGCACTATATTAAACATTATAAATGGTTTTCAAATATTTATGAATTAAATACTATAAAAATACAATTATGCAAAACTATTGAATTTTAATATGATCAAATATTTGATCTGTTTTAGTATTGCAGTATATTAAATATGATCCTAAAATAATAAATCTATTATAAAATATTCAATACTAAATATTATGAAAATGTAAAATATTTAATATTGTAATATTATACCAAATACAATAAAAAGATATTTAACATAACATTAAAATAGGACATTTCATAAATATTTTATGTTAGCAGTGATGATTTAAAGACAACTTCTGTGTCAGTTAATAAAACACAAAAAAAATATTAAATATAAAAATGATTCATTTTAGCTTGATGATTTCTTCAACTCCAAAACCTATGCAACATTTAACACATCCATACACTCACATAAAAAATGCTGGGTTGTTTTAACCCAACTTTGGGTCAAATATGGACTAACCCAGCCGTTGGGTTAAATTTTTACATTAAATTTTTAACCCAACATTTCGGGTTTGTCCATATTTGACCCAAAATTGGGTTAAAACAACCCAGCATTTTTTAGAGTGTACATTCTGTACTTCCGACAGTCTCAACACACAAAGACACACACACCAGGACCTGCTGAGGATGCCATCTAAACACACACACACACACACACACACACAGCGACACAGGTCCTGCTGAGAAGCAATCTCAGAACCCAGAACCACAGAACACGTTTGCTGTTGATGGTAAAAACATCTGATGTGTTTAACCTGAAAACATGCCGATCTCAGCGCGGCTTATTTGGACACTCTCAGCCTGAGACGTTCCTGTGAGTCTCCGAAATAAACCACACACACACACACACACACACACACACACAGCTCAGAGATGTGGCCTAGCATGTGCTTCTCTAAAGGTGAAGCGGTTAACACGTATATTACAGGACCGAGCAAGACCAATCCCATCCCAACAGAGCAAGATAGAGTTCAAACACACACACACACACACACACACACACACACACAAGCACACAGTGCACAAGACAAGCCCTCGTTATAAGCATTGTTATAAACAAGTCGCACAGGCGCTGTATTCAGAGCTGATGAATGCCGGATGAACCTCTCAGAAAACAAACAATGCGTACAGTAGACGCGAGAGACCAGCACCGGCCTGAGACTCAGGAGACAAGCACTATATCTGAGATAAGCAGACTGGAATAATCATCGAAATAAAGCTCAAGCTATCACATCACCTCATGGCGTTAAGGATCAATTATGGGCTAATACAAGAAAACAAAATGAGGATTGCACAAGGAATCCATCACAATCCGTGACAAAACCAACACAGAACTCACTCTGATGATAATAAGCAATACTACAAGGTTTTAAACTCGTTGAAATAACCTGGTATGACAAAAAAACAAAACAAAAACAAGTATTTCATGTGCTGTTGGAAAGTGAACATGAAATACTTGTGCTATTTCTGAAGTTGAAATGACGAGTGGTTTGTTGTCAGAAAGAATATGAATCATAAAGATGATGACAGATTCATTCTTGCCCATTTCTTGGGGAAATCTTATTAAAGTCGAAAAGCATTGATGTTTAATCAACATCCAGTGGATTTTGAACTAAATGTAGCGTCTCATTAGTTGGCTACCATATAAACGTTACCTGCATTTTCAAATAATCAGCATCATTACTCCAGTCTTCAGTGTCACATGATCCTTCAGAAAGCACTCTAATCTGATGATCAGGAAACATTTATGATTATTATCAGTGTTGAAAACAGTTTTTCAGGATTCTTTGATGAATAGAAAGTTGAAAAGAACAGCATTTATCTGAAATATAATCTTTTGTAACACTATAAATGTCATTACTGTAACTTTTGATACATTTAATTCATCCTTGATGTATACAAATTCCGCCCAAAATTTCTGATAAATGCTGTTTTTTTAACTTTCTAATCATCAAAGAATCGTGAAATAAAAATGTACACAACTTTTTACAACATTGATAATAATCATAAAGGTTTTTTGAACATCAAATCATCATATTAGAGTGATTTCTAAAGGATCATGTGACACTGAAGACTGGAGTAATGATGATGAAAATTTAGCTTTGATCACAGGAATAAATTACACTTTACTATATATTCACATAGAAAACAGCTGATTTGTACTGGAATAATATTTCACTGTTTTTACTGTATTTCTGATCAACTAAACACAGCTATGGAGAGCAGAAGAGACTCTCTCAGAAACATTAAAAAGTTTACAGACCCCACAAGTGTGACTGGTAGTGTACATGGCAATAGAAAGCAATGCAGATGTTATGGGGAAAACAAATAAAACATTTTATGGTCCACCCAACTCTCCAAAACTAGGGTATCAAAAGAGCTTCCCTGTTGTAGAGGCCAATTTCGGATAATTCCAAAAGCACTAATCTAAGAGTCTGGTTCCAGTTTAATAGCTCCATTATACTGGCTACGCATCTATACCATCAATCTGGGCTAGTAAAACCAACAAGCAGCACAAAATAAGGAGGTAATTCTAACCGGTGGTGTTTATAGTCTACCCAACTCTCCAAAACTATGGTATCAAAAGTTGTAAGACTTAATGTATAATTCCAACAGCACTAATCTAATTAAAGTAAAAAAAGGTTAGCAAAACCAACATGGCAAGCAGCACAAAAATAAGGATGTGATTCTCACCGGTGGTGTTTTTTGGGAGGTGGAGGCGGCGGAATGGGATCTCGACTGGCGCTGGGTTCGGTGGTCTGGTTGGGATGAGCTCTGGTGCTCTCGCTGGTTTTCGCATTCTCCACTGGGACGCCAGCCGGAGTCTGACTGGTGCTTTTGTTGCCGGTGCCTGGTGTCGCACTGCTCTCGCTCTTCCATTCTCTGGACACAAACTCCCGAACAGCGGGACCATTGATGGACTCAACCGGACGGGTACAGGAGCCTGATCTCTCAGACTCTCCCTCCTTCTGCCTCATCAATACAGTCTTCCATACTCCGGTGTTTACGGACCGGAGCCGAGCGAACTGGAGCAATGGAGTCTACTTGAGAAGGAACGGGAGCCATTTCTTTTGGAGGAAGAACCATTGTAAAGCTTATCTCGGGTAGCGGTAAGGAAAGACTGGAGGTGCCAAGTCTGGGAGGACGGGAGTTAATCTTAGGAGGAACCGGGGGACTGGATTGAGGCTTGGGTTGGGAGGCGTTAGGGGTTCCTTCGGTTGCGTCTGGCCAAGTGAACGCCGGGCTTGATGAGTCTTTGGGCACCGTTGGGCTGAAGTGGGTCCACTGAGTGCTTACAGCAGAATCCGGGCTGCTTAGGTAAAAAGTCCTGTTATTTTCTTCGGTGTGGGCGGCTACGACTGTGATGGTTGCTCTTTGAGTGTCGCTTGCATTGAGCTCCGTTTCAGACTCCTTCCCGTCGCATGGCGTTCGTCTTTTCCTCTTAGTGCTCTCAGCGTAGATCGGCTCGCTTTCCTCAAGCCCGTTTGGTGGACCGCTTGAGTTTTGAGGTCCTGGTAATGAATCCGTGCTGCTCCGATTGGAGCACGAGTCAGACAAGCTTTCATGGAAGGAGTCTGGAGTCATTGGAGATGGCATACTTGGCGTCCCATTGGTTGTATTTGGCCCACTTGGCGTCCCATTGAACACATTCCCTGGTGCAGATCTGGCTTGCCTTTCCTCTACAGATACTTTTAGAGGACTCGTAACTCCATCACTGTTTCCATTGGTTCTTTGAGTCATGTTGTGAAGATATGAATCTCCATTGGCATAAGTGCTTTTGACCGCTTTGGACATCTGTCTATAGGGGCCATCGTTCCCATTCTCTTTCAGACTTTGGGAAATGCAGCCATCTTCCTGACTCACATATACACTGCTAATAATCATGCAGTCTTTGGAAAATCCAGTGGGTGAACAAAAGTTTGGGGAAAACTTCTTCCTGGAGATGCCGTTTTGTATAATGGCTTCTCTTAGAGATGTATTACATCCATTGCTATCGATGTACAGAGGAGCCAAATCCAGAGCTTTCTTTAGTCCAGCGGTGGTCTTCTGGTTGTTCTGAGTCACAGAAGCAATGATAAGTTTGGGAAGAAGTCAAACACTGGAATCTTTTGACAAATTAACATTTAGGCCATTTTCCAAATGCATTCAAGCTACAGGCTTTATCAGTTCTTGCTTTCCCTAAGATTTAACCCTTGTGCGTCAATTAAAAAAAGATAGACATTGGTCCATAGAGGACAAACATATCAGTGTCAAAAGAACTGTCAAAAATGTTGGCCTCATTTTAATGAGGTAAAAAAATATATAGAGGTTTATGAAAACGATTGTATATATATATATATATATATATATATATATATGAAATATGTTTTAACTCTAAAACTCATAGAAAATAAACCTAAACAAGTCCAAATTTAAGGGCTGAAAACTAAAAAATTAGTTTTCAGTGAGATTTCACCCATTGGATGCCAGCAAAACTCCACTGGGACACAGTGGTTGGATTTTTGATTTGCAGTAGTTTTTCTCTCTTAAATATTACAAGCGCACGAACGCACACAAACACACAATTTTAAATCCTTGCCAACAAGAATGAAAGCCTATGAGCAAAGATTGCATCATTTTATAGTTAAATGGAGCAAAACAAAATTGTGAGCAAAAATTGCATTTTTGTCTTAAAGGTCCTGAAAGGAAATATTTTGTGTTACAAAACAGATTTTTTTATAGGAAATGGGGTGAAAGAAACATTCCAATAAAAATACACACTTGTGCCACATTTTATGCAGTTGGCATTAACACAGGTGAAATGATAAAAAGTAGGGCTGTCAAACGATTAATCGCATCCAAAATAAAAGTTTGTGTTTACATAACATATGTGGGTGCACAGTGTATAATTATTTTGTATATATATATATATATATATATATATATATATATATAAATATAAATACACACTCATACATGTATATTTAAGAAAAAAAATATTATTTATATATAAAATATTGATATTTATATATAATATAAATTATATATAAATCTATATACAGTATATACATGAAAATATTTCTTAAATATATACAAGCATGTGTGTATTTATATATATAAAATAACTATACACAGTGCACCCACAAAAAACAAACTTGTATTTTGGATGCGATTAATCGTTTGACAGCCCTAATAAAAAGAAAAAAAACACTGAAAGACAAAAATGTCCATAAGGCTGCACAAGGGTTAAACCATGACTTTTTTGTTTTGCCATGTAGCTTCGAGCTACATATAACCATAACCATCTAATATCGGCTTATTATAAAACATGTAAATCAATAAACAATTGCCAATGAAAAAATCCACCTTGAGATCATTACGCCAAAGCACAAACAAAATACCTTGGTAAAATGTGACAGGCATGTCTAGGCAATGTCTTGAAAATTATTCATCAAGTACAAATAACCAATCCGTCATCTGCAGACGCCTTTATGTGACTAACTGTGTGTGTGTGTGTTTGCAGTGTAGTCCACTATTGAGATGAATCAATGCCCTAGGCGTTGATATAATTATCTTTGTTTAAACAGCCTGAATGTGTTCGTATCAATGCCTTCCTGTTAAGCCTACATAAAACTGCATGGAAGTGTGTTATCTAGTGTTCCCGAAGACATTCCAGTCTCCACCCATGTAGTGGAGAGTGTGATTAAGCCATAACAAGAGGTTAACCCCACTGGTGGTCTTAAAGGAGAACTCCGGCGCAAAATGAACCTTTGGTCTAATTACACATTGGTACCTAGTCCATCGTTCTCTGAGATTTGTTTTCATGATAATCGAATGTAAAGAGTTTTATCTCTAAAAACTGTTTCATTCACTCAGGTAATTCAGTCACTAATTTTTAGTCTATGCTCAGAAAGTGAATAAATGGATCACTTTTGACCAAAATATTTTACGTTTTGTTTTTTGTTGGTTTTTTCACTGGTTTGGAATCGTAAAGTGCGACTCATTGTGATTGGGTGATTCAGTGAGTAATTCAGTGTGATTGAGTGAGTGATTCAGAGTGATTGAGTGAGTGATTCAGTGTGATTGAGTCACCTGTTCTGTGTTCATGTTGATGTCCGTGTTGACCTCGGCTGTGACGTCGATGCTCATCATGGTGGGCCTGACAGCGATGGTGGGTTTGCTGTAGGGCGAGGGGGACGTCACCCCATCCTCGTCATCCCCAGTCACACTCGCGTGGGCTCGCTCGGGCCCCGGCTGGCAGTGGGCGCTGCGCGGGTGGAAGCAGTTCTTACACGAGCCGGGTTTCCACACGTGTTCTGCAAACTCTCCACACGCAGACATCTCGAGATCCCGTCTGACCAGGCTCTACTGGGCGGAACCGGCCGAGACGGGTTGCTCATAATCTGGGGAACAGAGCGGGGTATCAGCAGCCTCCGAACCTGGAGAACAAGAGGGAATGCTGACACTTTATTTTACAGTCAAGTCGATAGATAGATAGACAGATAGATAGATAAATACTTTATTCATCCGTTAAGGAAATTCAATGAAATTCGAGTCTCCTTTATTTATACAGTGCTTTACAACACAATGTTTAAAGCAGTGATAACAGGACAATAATATAACAGAGTTTGTTTCCGAAAGAGAATAGCATCAGTCCAGCTTAAGTCAGTTAAGTGATGGTTCATTTCTGCTGTAAAGTTATTAATTTAAAACCGTGATGTCATCGTCCAGCTCAGTTCAGTTCTCATATAATGGTAATAGTGTCCTTGTTATGTATTTTACATGTAATACCTTAACAGTAAATTATGCGTAATTAAAAACAAATCCTAATCCTACAGCAGAGGTACATGTAGTTCCTTAATATTACTCAGTACTTCAATATATAATAACACTGTAACAATGACACCTGAATAAAGTGTAACTGATAAAAGTTTAGATGATTTTGAAGGAAAGAGTTTATTTCACTCAGTTTAAGCGTGTTTCTGATGGGGAAGTGCACTTGTGTGAGAGACTTTGGGCTAATGATCAGATGAAAGTACTTCACGCTTGCTAGTGAAAAACAAAAGGTGTAAATCCTCTCCTCCTGTCCCTCATCCTTCGCTTAACCTTCACGCATCACACGACTCAACCACAGCCTGAACCATGAAACTCTAACCAGTTCAGTTCACATGAGGAGAAATGGTTGGATCAATATACTATATAGTAGTGAATATTTCATATTGAATATTTGCTGCAGATCCGACTGTCCGTCTCGAACGCCACTTTCCCAGGCCGCCGACATTAGAGGCTCTTCTGTTCTTTACACTTGAGTCTGGAATGCGTTCTCATTGGGGAATGTGAGGAATGTGTGTGGAGATTCGCACCACAGCGAGCTTTACACCACAACAGGTTACCGTGTCTCATCGCACACCTGACACAAGCTCTGGTGCACACACTCACACGGACACACGCGTTTGCACTGTCTTCAGACTTTTAAAGAGGCCATATTATGCATGATGTTGTTATAGGCTCAACTAGAACAGGTTTTCCTGCTTGAATGTTGATCATTCTCCTCATTTTCTCCATTGTTGCGGCTCCTCTCTTCCCAGTCTGTCAGTAACTCTCTGTTTACTTCCAATTGGTTGGCTGGAGCAGTGTGTTGTGATTGGTCGAAAGCTTCGAGTGTGTTTGGGAAATGTCCCGCCCCTTTCCATAACCGCCAGTTTAACACACTACTAATTAACTCAACCAGGCCCCGGGCCTTTATTCTGCACATTCATTATTATAATGAGGGATATTGTGATGTGTTCGTTCCTGGAAGAAACTCAAGACTACAATGGAGGCGTTTCAGGAGTTCAGAAACACTGACACTGATATAGAGAGGAACTGGAGCTCAAACAGCAACAACACACTGAAAAGAGTATAAGAGCTTGACATATCCTCTTTGGAATGAATGACTCTTGAAGAATCATTCTTATGCCCGACAATTTCCATTATTTCCAAAGGACAATGAATCATAGACTGAACTTTTCCAGTGACGGGTCACATGACTTCCTGTTTTAACCAGCGGACTCTTTAAACACTCACAGGAACTGCGGCGTCTTTGAGTAAACAAGTGGTGATGATTTAATAATTAAGAGTCTAAAAATGAGTCGCATATGGGTAAATAATATTCAGAGAGATTTCTTAATCAAAAGCAGAAACTGAAGCCATTCATGAATTACAGAGATTAAATATCGCATGTTACATTTGTTGCGTATTTTGCTAACGTCAGAGTCGCATGGACCATACTACCATACTGACCATAATAGTGTGAAATCCTGCTTTTAACGTTAAAAGATGGCAAAAAACTATTTACGAGATGAATAACTGTGATAGATCTAATAGTACGTTCCAGTAAAATACTGTTACATTTACAGAAGTAAAAAAAACAAGTCACTGTATAATTTACACTGTAAAACCGTATATTGACATTCCCACAATTTCCTGCGTGACGCTTCATATTTGAAGTATTTTTGTTGAAATAACTTTCATGTTTTTTTTCTAATCAGTTATGTACATTTATGTTATTCAATTGATGGTTAGTTACCGTAAGTGTATGAATGACACTGAGCAGCTTCTATATTAGTTTTATCTTTCTTAGGGGGAGTGGAAAAACTGTGTGTGTGAGGAGCTGTGATTGGTCAAGTGACTCGCATCTCCACTGTATTTGGTCATGTGACTCGTCTCCACTTAGATAGGTCATGTGACTCGCATCTCCGCTGTTTGTCAGTGTTCTACAATGGTACTAAACACAGATCTCAATAGGTCTAAATTAACATATCAGATAATGAAAGGTGTTTTTTTTACTGTACATTTATGTTAAGGCTGTTAAACTTAAAATGTTGCTATTACAGTAAATTTCAGGCAACCTCAGCTGCCGTTTATTTTACTGTAAATTAACAACAACAACAACAAAAACAAAAAGATTTATAAATGAAAACAGTCTGATAGAAACTATCGAATCTAATGTTTTACCCGGTTTCACAGATGAGGCTTAAACTTGTCCAAGACTGAAAATACGTCTTAAACTCATTTAATCTTGTAAATTACGTGGT